AATCCTAAGATTAAAGCATATTAGGACATATTTATAGGTTCATTTATATTTATAGGTTATGTTAAAAAATTAAAATATAATCTATAAATATAAATAAACCCATAAATAATAATATATAAGCTAACCTAAATAAACGCTCATATTCTCAATTTTTAATTAAACTTTGTATATACATATATATATATATATATATATATATATATATATATATATATATATATATATATATATATATATATATATATATATATATATATATATATATATATATATATATATATATATATATATATATATATATATATATATATATATATAAAATCCAGACACTAGCGATGTCAAAATCATTAAGAAGAATGCTCAGCTGCACAAGTTTGTTGAAAAAAAATTAATGTCTTATATTTTTCATACTGATTCTTAACAAACCAGATTTTTTTATTTACTTTTGTTACTAAAAACTTTTCAATTTTTATTTCAAATTTTAGATTTAGTCTTTCCAAGCTTTTTTTTTTTTTTCCAACCATAATGATTGCCATTAAGAATAAGAAATGATCAGTAGAAAAAAGTATTATAAACGACTCATCATATATATTAATTAAAAAGTATGAACTTAACAATTTCCCGCTCAATTTTTAAATTTATTATAGTTAAAAATTAGTTATTTGTAACAAAATGGAAATCTATATTAAGCACTTCCCAAATGATTAACGACCTAAAACTTATTAGATCTTTTATTTTAGATATTTTCGCGCAAATACTGTTTGATTTTATTATAGTAAAACGATATTTCATTGAAATTGAAACTGTAAAGAACAGATTTAATCGAAAAAAGTTAGTTTTAAACAAATCTTTTGAAAAACTCGTTGAGAGACTCTTATAAAAAATATGTTTAAAAAAAATTAAACTTTCTTTTGAACTCAAAATTTTTTTTTAAAAAAGCTCCAAGTTAGGGTGAGGTTAATTTTGTTTAGAAAAGAAAAGTTATTTTAAATCAATTTTTAACAAATGGCACACTTTTTCTAGTTAAATTAGTATATATCAAAGAATAATCAATTATTGAAAATTTATTCAAGGTGTAAAAAACATTACAAAAAAGGTGCAAAAAACAGATTTATTTAAGATTTATTGGTTTTAAACTAAGCTTTTAAAAAATAAGACAACCGTTTATGTTCCATCAGTATCCAGTCTTTTAAAGTCATGCGCGTTTTGATCCATGTGACACATTGATCTCTACAGCAATTTTTTTCTAACTCGACAAAAACAACAGACTTTTTTTAAATCAGCATTTTGAATTTAATTTCAGTATGAGATTGATATAAGATGTTTTAAAAAGATATACTTAAAATTTTAAAAGTTTTAAAAAGTTACCAAGCTATAATCTTTTATCTTTTTTATTTTTTACATAAAAATAAAAATTTCTTTAGCATGAGATCAAATTGATTTTTTAACGTTTTTTTTTTTTTGTAATTTTTCGTTAGAACATTTGTCACTTTCTTTTTCATATTTGTAATTAATATTATATAGTTTCATTATTATTAAATTGTTAGAATGCAGCAAATTTTTGGTTTTAAATTAATCTTTGATTTATTTTCTTTTTTGAAAAATATTTTTTACCCTTTTTTTTTTACAAAATAATATGTTTTCCATTATTTAAGATTTATCCCTCTGTGAAATATTTTCTTTAATTTTTATTATATAAATTTTTTTTAAGTTACATTTTTTTAATAGTTTTATAGTTTTTTAAATAAAAAAGATTTAAAAATTCTGTTGTAAACAAACAAACAAACAAAAAAAAAAAATTATAAAATGTTCTTTGACAAAAAATTCAATTTGTTTGTTTCGTTTGAGGCTTATTAATAAGATACTGAATTTATACTGTTAATGCTGAGATTATACTGAGTTTACTCGGTTTATTTTAAGTGTTGAATTTTCATAAATTAAATAGAAATATGGTTTAAATACAATTAGTGGACACACGACGTCGATCCTACGTTGAATTTATCATGGCCGATGACTCGGGTTCCGAAATGGAGAAACACAATCGTTAATTTCTGAAAAAAGTCCACATGATCTAAATTTTCTAAAAAAAAAAAAAAAAAAAAAAAGTCCATTAAAAAAAATTGGGGGGCGCACGTGCCCCCTGGTCCCCCCGGTGTCGTCGGTCCTGTTTATGTGAGGTTATGTTGACTAAATCCAACATTGTAATAACGATGATTACACTCACGTTATTTTTTATCTTAATTACAACATTGTAATAACATTGACTTCACTAACGTAATTTTTATCGGGCTTGCAATTATTTTTAAAGAGGGTTCCACTTTTTTTTTAACGAGGATTTTGTTTATAATTCAGCAAAGTAAATATTTATGTGAATAAATAAATATTTATTTTTTCTCAAAGTATCGAATTTTTTGAATACTTAATTTTTGAAAAATGAATACCATATTAAATTATAGTGAAAATTTTTAGTTTTTCCACCAAAACAAAGTGAATTGTATTATATTAAATTAAAAAAAAAATGATACTATATACAATTAAATATTTCTATATTTATATTAGAAATAAATATTTCTAAATTTCTATTGTCTACCGTAGTGGTTAGTGCAATGTATATTGCAGCGTGGGATCGGAGTTCGAAACCCTAATGACGATTAATTTTAACTTAAAAAAACATTGTTTTTACGTTGAAAAATCAAACGTTAGAAAATTTAACGTTATCCATCCTTTCAACTTCCAACGTTAATCTAATGTTATTACAAATAATAACGTTACTTAACGCTGTTCTAACGTTGGTGTGCCCTCTGGGATAGTATTCCAATGAGATTAATTTTCTAATTCCAATCTCTACCCATTATAAAACGTTTTAATCTTTTTAACAATAATAAAGTGTAATACCACCCAAGCTCACACATACCATACACATACCATCCACACGTCGCCCTCATACCACCCACATGTCATCCATAAACCACTTAAATCTCTCACATGATACTTTCTTATAAAAATTGAAAAAATTTAATCAAAAAAATTATACTTTTTTTGAATTTATTTTATTTATATACAATTTTATTCGTCATATAAATATAATATTAATAAGTACAATAAATGGAAAAATAAATGTAAATAATCATTGTAAAAGAAAATATAATGATTAAAGACATTTTTAGGGACATGAGCCACTAATTGGTGCCTCTTACCAACTTCTGTGGTAAATAGATTTTCAAATTAATAAGAAAGTTTTACCGATAAAAGTTTGATCAAGTTAAATCAAGTTTAGCTGAAGTCAATGTGAAATAGTTATGTCAGTGTGGCACTAAAACTTTTCTACAGTCCTAATTTGAAATTTATTTGGCTTATTAATTAAGTCAAATAAATAGGGAATAAAAGATGTAGCATTTCTGAAATAGTGTATGACTTTGAAGCGTATTGTGGGTCAAATAAATTCAGAAAACATCAGAAAAAGACTTTATTTCTAACTATTATCTTCTTTATTTTTAACTATTATCTTTTTTTTATTTTTAACTATTATCTTTTTTTTATTTCTAACTATTATCTTCTTTGATTTTAATTTGAAATTATTAAGTGTTTTAATTTCATTAAAGCTGTAGAAAGTGGTCACACTGACTTAATTGATTAAATCAAATTTCATTAAGACTGTAGAAAAGTTTAAGTGCTTTGTCATACTGACTTAATTGATTAATTCACATTTCATTAAGACTATAAAATTAATTCACAT